TTCTTTTTCATTTAAATTAATTTTCATTTTCAATTCACATGCAAAGCACCTAATCAAAGCCAAAAAAAGTGAAGGAGGTGTTGGGAAAGTTGTTCATATTGTTAATCATTTGATATTAATTTATATTTTTGTATAATGCAAAAGCAAGTTTTTCTTTATAATTCTTTGCTTAAAACAATTAGGGTTGTAGTTAACGTACAAAACATCGATGTCTTACACAATCGATCTTGCGTCAATTGCCATCGATTGTATGCTGATATATCGCGACAAACTATCGATTTTCCCCTAAGTTTACGAATTTTAAAAACCCAAGCAAAGTATGTTCCATGCAATTCAATTTACAGCGGTGGTCAAAAGTTTTTACACAAAGGACGTATTTCAACATGTTCAGACACCCTTGGATATTGTGAAAATTTGAAGAGAACTGCCTTAAACCATAGACAATGCAGAAAATTATTGCAAACATTCATTGAAAATTCGAAAAAAAAGTCCTGTCAAAGTTGGAGAATCATCGGAAAAACTATTTGGTAAAAAGTTTGTGATGCACACTGTGTTGCAGGCTTAAAGAAATTGAGAAATTGTACGCAAACAGATATTGATATTACCCCAACAAACCAGGCAATACATATGCCATTTGCTTTGGAGTATAATTATAAAGAAACCTATACAGTTTTGGCATAATGTGTTATGGACAGATGAGTCCGCATTTCAGTTCCATGGTTCATTTGGTAAACACTTTATGCACGTAGGTGAACACCAGTAGAGTAAAGCAGTACAGCTAAAAGTTTTGGAGATAGTTGATAGTTGTGATGTTTTAGGGATGTATGTATTTCATGCTGTGGATTTGGTGATTTGGTTCCGATGGAGAGCCCTTAAGTTAATACGCTTAATTTTGAATAATAAATGAAAATGGAATGGAAAAAACTCTTTTCCAACCATTGACGACAATGCTCCATGTCATAAAGGAGGGATACATACAAACATTTTAATAGACTTATATCAGGCTGTTCTCCATGGCCGCCCCAGAGTCCCAACCCAAATATCATTGAATGTTTGGGCGTTAATAAAAAGGACCGAGGACTATCGATTAGAATCGAAAATGCAATGATACCATACATGGGGAAATTGATAAGGGAAATTTGGATCATAGTGACTGTTGAATTTGCCAGAGACTTGGTTGCAGTTTGCAGAAAGTTGTTGATGCACACAGCGGTGTTACTAAGTATTTGTTATGCTAATGAAGTTAAAAGAAAAAAATGGTGAAAAAAACATAAAAATATAAATAATTTGGTTAAAGATATGTGTACTTTTGACGCAAAAAAAGTGTGTAACAACTTATAGGCATAACTCCTTTTCCTTTCTTTTCTGATTTTTCTTTCATTTGATACTGCATAGATCAAACTATGTGACAAAAGCATTTGTTTTCGGAACTAAATTCCAATAACAACAAGTAAAAAAGCTAAAGTCGGGTGTCTGTACATATGTTTTGCAATAATTATGGAAAATAAAAAAAAATAAAAAATAAATTTTGATCGATTTTACCTCCCTTGGTATTCGAACTCACGTAAAGGGTGTATAATTGCACATATACAAAGCAATTGCGTCTATTCGTGTCTGTGTAAACATGTTTGCAGTCAACCAAACAGCAACATCAACAACAGCCGCGGGCAGCGCTTGGGCAGCGCTGCAGCAGCAAATATATTTATGGCTATAACTTCTTGTTAAATCGGTCTATCATAGTGAAACTTGGCATACGGACTCATAATAACTAACTGGGGGTATTTGCAAAGTTTTAGTTCCAAATTCCAAGAATTACGGGATTTACGATTTGAATGGGAGAGGGGGGATGGAGTTATATTTTTCAGCTCCCGCAAACCTAATATACTCCTGTACATTTCAAGTACAGAGTATAACAAAGAGCTCCTTTAATGGAATATGTTAAAAAACAACGAATATTTTCTTCATTTTTATTAGTGTTATAAATTACAATTCTTAGACTTGATTTAAACACTAACATTTGAGCAGCATAGTTGAATGCCTTAGAAAACATCAGCTCAGATGGCACAGAGTTGCACACCACCGGAAGGTATTTTCGGGCTACTCCGTATCTGTTGAATCCTTCAATCCCGGATTCAACAACCTTCCTCTAGCCCGCAGCTGCTCAGCATGATTAGTTGAGTCGGAGCAATTAAAAGAGCAATATTCAGAAGGTGCTTGATTTCCAAGAATTCCACCGAATGTCTTGAAACTTAACTTATCTTATCAGTCAGCTTACAAACTACATCAGTTGCTGTGCAGCTATGGCTATACAAAAAAGTGTGAAAATTGTTTTCATTCTGCACAAAACCGATTTCGCTACTAAATTAAAAGAAGTTATGTTGGCGACGTTATCCGTGATAACTGCAACTCTTTTCAACTGCCCCCATCTGGGCAATATTTATACTTGTATAGTGATTTGCTTAGGTACGCTGCAGTCCGTCGTTCGGTTAATTCCACAGCACCAATCTTTAAGAAAGCTTCGCATTAACCCTCTTCAAATGTCCGTTTTGAAGGTCATCAAGTTTTTCTTCCACAAACAAGGTAGGGCGTCGTGTTTCTCGTCGATCGTCTTCTTAATTACACCCTGTATTCTTGATAAGCGTAACGAGAGAAATCGATCTAGATATGTCCGTTCGTTCGTACGTCTGTCCGTCTGTCTGGATGAACTCCTGCATTTCGGAAACAGCTGAGCCTCCATTACCCAAACTTGATATATAGACGCTGCTAGTCCCTAGGCTACACGAGTTTATTTTTTTTTTTTTTTTGATTTTCCCTCCCCTCCCCCCGCTACAGAATTTCGTCAATACTGTCCACATTTCAAAATCAACATATACCACACGGAATCTATATACAGATATCTAGTTTTGTTTCAAATTTCATCTAAATCAGTTGGTTCTAAGAAAAGTTATTAGCGAAACAATTTTACTTCGGTAATACGCCCACATTTCTTCTTCATTATGCTTCTGCTAGAGGCGCATATACCTCAGTGCCGGAAGTTTACGACACGTGTATATGTATTTTCATAGTTGACTCATAGTTGTTGTCTCTACCTGCCGATGCAATGGCTTTCATTTTAATAGTTTGAAATAATTCATCAACTGACCGAAATTAAATGAGCCCTACAGGTTGGCAGTTTGTTTGGATGTTATTCGGCAATAAAGCATTGATATATGAAATAACATATTTAATTTCACTAAACAAAATAATAAATTGCTGGGATCTACAAATATCCATGTGAATAGTATGTTACCATTCTAGCAATCAGCTTTGAAGTTTATTTATAGAAATATTAAAGTTTATACTTATTTAGGCATTATTTATATACTAATGTTTTTCTCACATAAATAGCTTAAACCGTCCGGTTTATTTTCAATCCTTTGTAAAGTTAGAGATGTTAAACGTTCGATGTTTTTGCCTAAACACCGATGATCGCCGATGCATCGCGTTCGTCAAAACATCGGCGGTGTCACAATAATATATATTTTTTAAAACCCTACCTCAACGTTTGAAGTTGCTAGAAGGACTTAATTTTACATTAAATAAGGAGAGTATTACCTTCAAAAACGACAATTTTAAGGAGCAGGACGGTGAATATTTTTTGGAGTGCTTGAAAAGATGGGAGCATTTATTTAATTAAATCCATCATTGTGAAACTACAAACATTTTGCATTGCCCTCGTATGCACTGCCTGGCACTTCTATCATACAGAGTGGAATCTCGCTAAAAGAGCTAGCAAAATGCTTTACAATTCCAATGATTTATACAAAAAGGGGCAATTATTGTCTGAAATTAATCGAAATTAATTAAGTATAACATAACTAATGACGGAGATCATTTAAATTCATAAATAGAACGCGCAGATTCAATAGTAGGATCATAAGAAGCTTCTGGAATAGTTAATGGAGAAGATTTTGCGGATTTGGTTTTATGGTGCACCGAACTGATGGAGTGCTTCATGGGGCACAATTTTTATCTCTATATTTGCGATAATGGGACACAACGGAAAATCAATCGCAAAGTAGGGAGCCACCTAGTTTGGTGCTTGTACTCGTACTTGTGCCGAGAACGCAAAGAAATTCAATTATAATTTCAGTTTATTGCACGTTTTTGTTTGCCACACACAATTTTTAACTTTTTCTATTATTTGTACATAATCAACTTAAATACCTTTGTGCCAAACACTCAGCCGAACAGCACTTAATTTTAAGCTGTTGTTATGGTTGGTAAATGTAATTATATAGTGTAATTATAAAGCAATTAATATTTTTAGCTGCATGTACAAAGGAGGCGCATTATTATGATACTGGTATTCGATATATGTACATACTATATGTATATACAAACTGTTTATGTTCAATGTGTGAAAAAATATACATTTTGTTCATATCAGAGTGATACGAATCCACTTAATTTCAAATAAAAACATACGACAATCATTTCGAATCGAAAATCTTTCATAACTTACATATGTGAAAACATTTTTCTAAAAATGTGAAAATTAAAAATACCTATTTACGTACATATTATGTTGCAAAACCCAGGGCTAAATTTACATTTAACAAAGGAAAATGTAGTTAAATGTAAATACACTTATATATATGTATATGTCTTGACTCTCATTGGAAGTTTAAATTTTAGTACACGCCACTGATCTGCGCGCCCATGTTATCAAGTTGGCAGCTTTTCTGTATCAATTCTACTCAATTGTGTGCGCTCAGTTTTCGCTCAAATATACAATAAATCCACTCAATCTTCGCTCTCGCATTTATTTGCCATGCGCGGTGCTCCAAAAATTGCACATTTCTTTATTTTAGACGCAACGAGAGTAAGCGAGACAACTATACGCGCTAACTGTGGAAGAGCAGCGGCTGAAAAATCGAAGTAATTTAGACGAGACATCAACCGAGCTCAGGCGCATTTCATTTGTAAAAAATTAATGGTGGTGTACGGTTCTACGCATAGCAGCGCGCAACATTGGACAGTGACAAAGAGAAATATATAAAAAATATTGTGTTTTTCAGAATTTAAAGAAAGGCGCGGCAAGTCTTTCGTATAGTGAGAGCATAAAGAAACATATTATAAATAACAAAATAAGCAAATTGTAAAACGCGACGTGGAAAAATTAAACACAAATTTGAATAAGTGCACGAGACGGTGAGAAAGAATAATTTGCATACATGCATATGTACATACATACATAGAAACGTGAAGTGAAGCGTCAACTGCCCCAGCGTGTTTTGCGGCAAATCACACACACACGTACACAAAGACGAGCACATCAATATAGTTTGTTTAATGTTTGCGGCACTTACAACTACAAAAATTTGTCTAAACAACATAAAAAACGTGAGTGAAATACATTTTCTTGGCTTTGGTGCATGGTAAATTTTTAATGAGTTCCAGAAGGCACATTTTTGTTGTTATTTATACGCCCACTGCTGAACAGCACAGCCACCACCACTTGCATGTGTGAATTAGAAATATGTACATAGGTGTGTTTTGCAAAAAGCGTCAGTGGGGGCCGATACTTTATGCCATTGTGTACACATATACAAACCGACAAAGATATGTACATATGTGCATACATATGTATGTATACTTGAACATATGTTTGTACGTACGTACGTACGGTCTGTTGTTTAAAGCCAGTCGCATTGATTAAAAGAAATTAAACATAATCAGGTACTGCTGAAGCTCTCTCTGTTTTCTCTCGCATTCTAAGCCAACTTTGTTGTACAATCTATGTATGTATATGTACGTGTATACTATGTATGTACATTTATACATAAATGCAGACTTATGTGTATGTATAACCGGCAAAAGCCGTCGCGTGTTGCTATGTCTATACATATGTCTGTGTGCTCGAGTCTGTGTTAGCTATACTTGCGTGTTATGTACACAATTATTTTACACACAAATGTGCATACACACATCGTGCATATGTACATAGAAATAACATGTAACGTTAGTTAATTGTGTCTTGCAAAAAGCAGTATTCACGACGGCGGTAACGGCAGCCCCATGCCGCTTCAAATTGATTTTAGTATGGTGGCGGCAATGTCTCCACGGTTGTCGTTGTTTTCTCGTCGTTCAGCATCCAAAATCGTCAGCAGTACAGTGCGGGGTTTGCCGTCGCATTATGTTCTTATTTGCTTCTCACTTTTGCCTTTGCCTTTTGTTTGTGCTTGCTTTCTGCCTGCTTGCCTGCCCGTCTGCTTGGTACTTTTCGTCGGGCATGCTATTTGTTTTTTTGCTTCCTTTTGCCTTGCATTCCGTTTCGTTCGTTTTCAAAGAAAACGCGTCGTTTTTGCGCGAGCTGCTTGGCTGCCTGTTCTCTCTCGCGCAAGTCGCTCTCCACGCTCAATTGTTCAATTGTGACAAGCAGACAGACTGCCCGCTTCAGTGTGTTTGCGGTGGGCCTGTATTTCTGGCCTACAGTGTTGTAAAATGTCCAGTTGGAATTTCTTGTTTGGCTAAAACGTCTGCTCTTGATGTGGGCGTCTTGAGGATTTTGGAAATCCATTTATGTAGTTTATGTATTCTGCAATGTACATACATATATTTAAAATGTTTTCATGCGCCATTTGTTGCTAACTTTGTAGTCATTTCCCAATCCCTTGCAGCCTTAACAAATTGTTAAAGAGATGATAAGCGAATTGTGTGCGCCCACAATGGCTTGGGGTAGTTCTATAAATAGGTAAATGTCATTGGCGTTAGTTTTACTAACCTGCAACCTGTAAAAACTATTCTTCCCAAAGTGAACAGGATTCCATTGTGAATGCTTTAAAGTACCATACAAAAGAATGTGAACTTCATTTACGCTAGTTGACTTAACTCTGCTTTGCAATAAGCCTTCTTGCCGTCTTGTTATCAATCCATCTACATACGTTTTCATTCAAAATTACGATGTTGACAAGCTTGGATAGAATTTCTGAAAGCAAACTGTCTGACGATCTTGAAAAAGCATCACCTCTAAATATAAAAGCATATTTTTCAACCCTAAAACCAAAATTGAGTAAAGCCCACTGCATTGCCTATATATACTTTCATACATATATATCTATATATTTTTGTATTTTTTTCTACATTTATTCAGCCGTAGTACTTAGTTTTGTAAGACTAAATTTCTTTCAACTCCCATAAAGCTCGTAGAATCATTTTCATTTCATTTTATCAAATGTACTAAAACAATTATGATCATGAATTTCGACTAAGATACAATTCACAAGACCTTCTCATTTTACATTGAATTGCTTTAACTAGAGTTAAACAAGCTGTCAGGCTAGAGCCTGCATCAACAGCAGCATAAATAGCCATCATAGTGGCATAACTTCTATTCGCCATTTGACAAACCTGTTATGGACTGAAAATACCTTCTTTTTTATATGCTTTGGTATAATTTTTTTTAGAGCGCCAAACAACTCGCTCATTTACTTCTGTTGTTACTTTAAAAATTGTTTCCAATTGTACTCCCACTCGGTGCCAGTTAAGCTTTCGTGCTTCGCCTACTCATTCACTGGCGGTGCAAATGATTTCCCACTAGCTCAGCTCACAAGTTTCTCTTCTCTCTTTAAAAAAGTTACAATTGCTTTGCTTTATGTTGCATTTTCTCTTTGTGTGCTTTGCTTTTCTGCACATTTTTCGTACTGTGCCTATTTTGCGCTTTTGATGCACTCGATGTCGTCGCTGTCGCTGTCGCCATCGTTTTGGCCTTTCTTTACGCTTCCATTTGTGTTTGTATTGCTTCTGCTATTGTATGAGTATATATGTACACACATATGTGCATTTTCTTTGCCATTTCCATTTACTCGTTCGTTTTGCTGCGTAAAATTTCAACCTGCCAAACAAGCATAGAGGTGGGGGTTCTGTGGGGAGCTTTATGGGCTGTACTTTGCTGCTGCAACGCGTGTGCATTTCTAACTGGTTGGGCGTATTCGTAACATTAAGTCTCTGGCTTGTCTTTAGGCCGTTGACTGTGCGCGCCACAAAGTGCCTTCCATCCTCTCCCTCCCCCTTTCAATTTTATCGCCGTTCCGTTGTGTGTGCTGACCCTGCGCGCCACTTATTGCCAGTTCTTCTTCAGCCCTTGCACATTGCATTTCTTTTGCTTCGAAGCCCCACAGAGGAACCACTCAACCCGTTTTCTCTGGCTTTTGGGTAGAGACTAGGCGTGCAGGTGGCGTGAAGTGGGCGTAGGTTTTGTTGCAACTTCTGCTGCTGCACTTAACCGCCATCCGTCTATTGTTTCTGCTGCTTTTTTCACACTCGACAACCATCAACCGCCATCTGCACCCGCCATTCGTCACCAGCCATATACTTTTAGAAAAGCCACCAACAATTGGGCAATACAAAAACTGCCCCAACACGCGACCCTTGCGACTGCCCCTCCAACCAAGCTGGTGAAATATGCAACGCAAATGTAATCATTATTGATTTTGTGGCGCAAGCAGGCCGCGTTGAGCCGAGCCGGCCACATTAGTATGTTAGATTATCCAGTCAGGACAGCCCGCCTGCTGCCTTCCTCCACCTTAATGCTATGCTGGCTGCTTAAATATGCAAAACGCTGCTGGTTGCCCTTTGCGGCCGGAAAAGCATGACGGCGAGGACGACATCGCTTTCAGGATAACTGCAGGTCTGCCATGTGCTGACTGGACTGCCAGGAATTGGGTGAGGGGCAACGAACAAAGTAGCAGCCGGCACACATTAGAAATTTAACAGGTTAATGTCCAAAGTCGTAAACGAAACCATTTATTTATGGCATTTGCGGAATTTGTGTGCTTTTGGCTTTTGGCAGACCATTCTTATAATGCGCGGAGCCATTTTGGTAATTTATATAAGCTATACATACATGTATGTATGCATGTACATACATATGCGAGTATGTGTGCGTGTTGGCATGAACATGTCGTAAAAATACTTACAAATCTGCAATGCATACGACAGATGACTGAGAGGGTTTCAAAGACTTTGATAATAACCAGGATACTTTACTGGTGAGGACTCGGTGGGGTTATCGGGCAACCATTCTGGACGTAAGTCTTAGGTATGTCTGGATAGCTCTTGGATTGGGGCTGTAAAGTTGTGGGCAGCTGGCAGTATTTTGTGGTATCTGCTTTGAGTTAAAAGTGAATTTAGATTGATAGCCCTTGTTATACCCTGTACCCAAAAGGGTACAAGGGTATATTAGTTTTGTGCGAGTGCACATGGAACACACAGAAGGAGGCTTGGTAGACCCCACAAAGTATATATATTCTTGATCAGCATGACAAGCCGAGTCGATATAGCCATGTCCGTCTGTCCGTCTGTCCGTCTGCCTGTCCGTCTGTCTGTCTGTATGAACGCAAGGATCTCCGAAAGTATAAGAGCTAGAATAACCAAACTTGGTATACAGATTCTCCTGAGACCGAGAAAGGACGAGTTTGTTCATTTTTTCTGATCCACCCCCCCACTCCCCCCCTATTAACGATTTTCTATAACTCCCGTAATTCTTGGAATTTTGAACTAAAATTTGGTAGTCACATTAGGTTAGTAATTATATAACCGTATACCAAGTCTCATTATGATAGAATGATCGGAAAGAAAGTTATAGCCATATAACCAGGCTCAATGCACACATACATACATATGTACAAGTACACAAACACGCATAGACACGATTCTGATGTAATTGTATGTATGCATGTATCGAATATTTTATATTTAATTTAGTTAATTAATTAAATTAATTTAATTACATTAATTAATTAATTGCATTTTAAATTTTTTGTGTGGGGTGGTACAGGGTATTTAAGAGTTGAGCCTGCTCGACTTTAGCATTCCTTTCTTGTTTTAAAAAGGTTAAATGCGTGGGTGAAATACTTAATATCCGATGTTTGCATACCCTGTACGCATGGACAGAAGGAAGTTAGCTCTTCTCCTTCTTTTTTTGCTTCTGCTATGGGCCCACGCAACTCAGTGGCGGAAGTTTCCTTGTCGGGCTAGCTCGACTTTAGCATTCTCTCTTGTTAATACACAGAACAGTTTGTTTTCGAAGGGCGAGTTCTCGTAGTAAATTTAAGCTAGGAAGCTTCGATTTATAGCTTGCTTAGATAATTTCTTACGAAGAAAAGATAAAAAAAAAAATATTTGTTTTTATAAAACTAGAGTAATATCTCATAATTACATGTAAGATAAGCAAATAAGTTACACTGCTAAGAAAAATGTACATAACAAGTCTGGTATACCTAGCTGGTATAGCTCGAAAGTTCCCGATATCCATAGAGACGGACGGTCATGTCTATATCGGACGGGTCTGGCAAGCCTCATTCCGCCTGTTACATACATTTGGCGCTCCGAATTTATAATAA